CAATATTAAATCTTAAGATGCCAGAATAATCTCCTTTGACCACATGTCCCACATCCTGGGCACACTGGGGCAAGGGGTTAGGCCCCCAGGGCTTCAGGCATCTCTGATTCTATGGTTTTGTTGGGCTCAGTCCACCCAGCAGTTCTAACAGGTTGGAGTCTCACGCCTGCAGCTTTCCCAGGCTGGAGTTGCGTGCTAGTGGCCTTAAAGTCCTGGGGTCTCTGAGGTGGCCTCATTCTCGTGGCTCCACTAGGTATTGCCCCTAGTGAGGGCTATGGAGGCTTCTATGGCCCCACAGTTTGTGTGCTCTGTACATCTGTAGAGGTAGCACCAGATGGATGCTGCCAACGTTTATAGCTTGTGCCTTTTAGGGCTGTGGGTTGAGGTGCACCTGGGCCTGCTCAAGCCATCGTTGGGGTGGCCAAGCAGAGCTGTGCTAGAATTTGGGGATCAGAGTCCTGAGGTGATGCAAGGCAGTGAATGCTGAGTTCTGCAGGCACCTCTCTGGAAACCTTGCCCATAAAGTTCTGACTTGCTGTGAAGATCTCTGAAATGCTTTTGGGTTCATTCTCCTATTTTCTTGATCAATAGTACCTATCTCTTTTCTATTTGTACTAATGGTTTAGCAAATGGTCACTTGGCCACACTCTTGATTTGCACTCCTGAATATACCTTTTCACTCTTTACATGGCCAGCCTGTAAATTTTCCAAATTTGTATATTTTGTTTCTCTTTTAGTTATAAATTTTGTCTTTAAATCATTTCTCTCCATGCATCTTACTATATGTAGTTAAAAGTAGCCTACAGCTCCTTAAATATTTTGCTTAGAAACTTCTTCTACAAGCTATCCTAGTTCATTGCTCTTAAATTACACCTTCTAGGGCCGGCTCGTGGCTCACTCGGGACAGTGTGGTGCTGATAACACCAAGGCCATGGGTTCGGATCCCATATAGGGATGGCTGGTTCACTCACTTTGGAGAGTGTGATGCTGACAACACCAAGTCAAGGGTTAAGATCCCCTTACCGGTCATCTTTAAAAAAAAAAAAAAATTACACCTTCTATAAGCAGCCAAATTCTTTGCCACTTTGTAACAAGGATGGCCTCTACTCCAGTTTCTAATACCTTGTTCCTCAGTTCCATCTGAGACCTTCTCAGAATGGCCTTCACTGTCCATATTTCTATCAGCATTCTGATTACAACCACTTAACTCATCTCTAAGAAGTTCCAGACTTTTCCTACAGTTCTCTTCTGAGCCCTCTCTAGAATTGCCTTTCATGCTCCATTTACATCAGTTTAGGCTTTTTCTAGCCTGCTCCTCCAAATTCTTTCAGTCTCTACCCATTACCCAGTTTCAAAGTTACTTCCACATTTTCAGGTATTTGTTACATCAACAGCCTCACTTCTTGGTACCAATCGCCTGTTTTAGCCCATTTTATGTTACTGTCACAAAATACATGAGACTGACTAATTTATAAGGAACAGAGATTTATTTTTTAGAGTTTTGGAGGCTGGGAAGTCTAAGGTTGAGGGGCGCACACTTGACAAGGGCCTTCCTGCAGCATCAGCCTAGGGTGGACAGTGGAAGGGCAAGAGAGCACATGTGAGAGAGAGAGAATGGGGCCAAACACATACTTTGATTAGGAACCCACATAAAGGTTCCACCTCTCAACACTGTTGCATTGGGGATTAAGTTTCCAACATATGTATTTGGAGGACAAATTCAAATCATAGCAATATGTTTATCAAATTTCAGAAGATACTAAAAGGGATATCAAATATATTGATCGGCATTAGGATTCATAAAGATTTCAACAGATTGGAGCAATGAACTTAATATGAAATTTAATAAGATAAATGTAAAGTCTTGTGACTATAAAAACATTCATGCAACAAATCTTTATTGAGTGTCTTTTATGTATAGGGCACTGTGCTAGGCACTGAGGAAACATTGGTGAGCAAAACAGGTGGTGGTTCTTGATCTCATGCACCCCATTTAGTAGGAATAATAAACATTAATTTTAAGTGTTTGCCATATGTGTAGGACTGTGCTTTATGCTTTGTCTGCTTTATCTTATTTAATCTGTATGAAGTAATAGATACTATTGCCCTTATCATTTTATATAAGAACAAACTGTTAGAGAAATAAAGTAATATCCAGTGTTGGATCCAGGTCTTGAACTTAGGGCTGTATGAATCTAGTGCTGCACTGTCTGATGTGGCAGCCACTAGCCACATGTAGCTATATAAATTTAAATTTAAATTAATATTAATTAAAAGTTAATAAAACTCAAAATTCAAAATTACTCAGTACCACTAGCTACATTTCAAGGGCTCGGTGGCCACATGTAGCTAGTAGTTACCATATTTGACAGCGCAGGTTATAAAACATTACTGTCCTCTGAGGAAGTCATATTGGGCAGTGCTGTTCTAGTGTTTTCAATCCCCCAACACCCCCTCCCCCCATATTCCTTCTAGACTTTACTATTAACATTTTATTATACTTGTTTTGTCACATATGTGCACATCTATCTGTCCATTGTTCATCTTATTTTTTTGAATTTCAAAGTTAGTTGCAGACATTCCTTCTTAGGCAAATACAGGATGTGGGAAATCAGATTTAATGCGATTGTCTGGGACAAAAATCTGTGGAATCTTAGTGTTTTAATAGCTTATGGTGCCCAGAGGTAAATCCACCATGTCTTCCACCTGTTAAAGTGCATGTAGATTACTTTCCCTTCTCTACCTGTTTGGGACCCCATTGTTGAGCTTCCCAATTATAGTTCATCTAAACTCTTCCCTCCAGTGTTATTTTTTTTCCCCCTCCCACCCATTAAACTGCCAATTCTGGATCAGTGCTTTGATCCACTTTTCCTTGCTCTCCTACTAGGAGATGGTTAAGCACTGCTGGAGAAGATCACATAAATGTGTCCATTGGTGCCCCTATGAATAGTAAGGTGCGTTTAATCTCCATAAGACTGTCACTGCTTTTGATTAGTCTCTTGTTTTGTATTCCCTCAGAAAATATTTTGCATTTTCACCAAACTTCACTTTCTAAAATTTCCAATCCAATAGCTGATTCTCAGCAGCTGACTTATACTCCATTATGAAAATTGGGGCTCTGGCTCTCCCGAGCTGGTGCTGTAGGGGGTTGAGGGCTTCAGCCACACCTTGTTGACATCTGCATCCAGCTCAGCAATGACCAAGCCACTGCTGGAAGTCCCCTGTTCTCCCCTGCAGGAATGAGGGGGGTGCCACAGGCCTCAA